TAGGGTGTCCAAAAAATGTTTACACATTATGCTAAAATCAAACACCACTCACTACTATATTTTTTGTGTATACATTTTTGGGGACACCCTGTGTGTATATATTATAAGTATTACTTATATCATTAAAAAAAAACATATAGCAGGAAAAGATAGAGTAAAAAGATTTTTTTTTAAAAACTAGAAGTAAAGACGATTTGTTGCTATGGCTAGAACTATCAGAAATGTGGAATCGATTGTGAGAAAAAACAACTGGTTTTTCTTTTTTTCAACAGGTCAATTTCTCAATTCCAGACATGTGCTTGGTTTCTTGCATCTCAGTGTGTTCACGGTTTTTAAAAAAATGACATAAGTTTGACGTCCTTATCAATACTATAAGGTCATTCAAGAGGTGGGACTGCCGAGTTTAACGTCCATCTCTGAAAGGACCGAGCTAAGGGGGAAATTCGTGGAAAGTGCCTTTCCCAAGGACACAACATCGGACCGAGCTGAGGCTCGAACACCCGAATCTGCATCCCCCATCTCACGGCTACGAGTCCGGTAGCCTAACCACTGGGCCATCAGCGCCACTGTTGACGATTTTAAAATGTTGTAAATCGTATGCTCTTTTGAACAAAAAATCAGAAAAGTACTTTAATAATTTATAGAACTAATAACTGAACACAAAGCATAAATAAATAAAGGAATATCTGTTTCAGAAGTAAAACAGGATGAATGATTTGTGAGGCAGCGTGGTGGATTCAGGCTCTCGTCAAAGTACTCAAAGTGAAGAAACCAGCATTTTTCCGTAGGTTTGTGAATTTTTATCAAATTTTTGTTTTTTGGCTCAACACCTTTCATGCTCATTAAAGAACCCATTTCTGTGTGGATTTTTCTGAAAAACATTGATTAAAGGCACACAAAAAGTAAATTTTCAGTTATCACGGACTCTTAAGCTAAGGAAATAACTAATCTTTGGCCGCCATTTTCCCACTAATTCTACCTCTGAAAACAGGTAAACCCCCAGCTCCTTCAATTGCAAATATCTCGACTTATATTCAGATAAATGGATTTGTTTTTCATCCAGATGAAAAGATAAGTGAACATGTTAACCAGCTTTAAGATGATACCAATAACTCTACATGCCCAAAAATTGACGAGAGCCTGATTCCACCACGCTGCCTCACATTTTTTCTCTTTAAAATGTTTAACATGGAAAAGGGGAGGAAATAAGTCCTGAGGTATAAAACTTCTTTAACAGGAAAACTGAAATCTTTATCAATAAAAGAACATGGAGAAAAAACAAAACCTGACAGAATAATAATGTCACGACTTTATTACGCTCCAATTATCAAATGTAGAACTAACAATTATAGGAAAAAGAAATATTTTCTGATGCTTCCTTTTTCTCAGTGTGGAACACATCTCGTTTCTTGTTTAGGACATCATGCTTTTTCACAAGGTTATTGAAGGATGAATTGTGAGGCAGTATGGTGGAATCAGGCTCTCGTCAAAATAATCAAAGTGACGAAACTTGCATTTTTCTGCAGGTTTGTGAATTGGTATCAAATTTTTGTTTTTTGGCTCAACACCTTTCATACCCATTAAAGAACTAATTTCTGTGTGCATTTTTATGAAAAACGTTGATTAAAGGCACAAAAAATGTAAATTTTTCAGTTACCACGAACTCTTAAGCTAAGGAAATAACTAATCCTTG